GAGACAATTAAAATTCCTTATTTGAAGGATAGTCTTCATCCACTTCTTTCTGGCTTTAGTTGGAGAGATGCAGAATTTGGGCAGAAAATAGTTACACACAGCTGGACCTTTAGGCATCCTTGTGCTGAAGGATGCTTTGGATGGCCAGAGTTTCTGTTAAATCAAGGAACTGCCTCTGGTTTTCCATAAATTATTACTTTCCATGTCTTGGAAAGAGGAGAAACATTGTCAGGGATTCAAGAATCTTTGGCTTGTTTATGCTTTCAAGGGCCATAAATATCCATGCCCATTTTCTTAGATGAAGGAGAAATTAAGGCATCACCAATATTTTAAAAGTGTCTCAATGTAGAATCTAGTTATTCTTTCCCCTAGAAATTAAAGTCAGCTTTTCAACCCAATCTAACATCAGACAGTTGGAGCAAAGCAGAATACAGATCGTTATTGAAAAATTGAGAGAAAGAGCAGAAACAATTTTCCTGAGAAAAACTGAACAAGTTATGAAAGGAAATATTCTGCAGATTTGAGGCACATATAAACTAACTTCAGTTTTCTCCTTGCAGTAAAGGAAAGGAGCTGTCTAGAATTTAATGGCTCCAGTTTTGTTGGACTACAACTCCAATCAGCCCCTGCCTGCTTGAAAAAAATATTTATGTACACCAGGATGAGTTTCTGATTAGGCATTTCATAAATGTTTCAGATCCAGAAACACTTTTAATGGGTTTATTTAAACTGCATGACTAAAACATCAGAGATTCGTTTAAAAGAATACAAGAAAGCAAACAAAAACTAAACAGAAGCTAAAAGAAACCCCCCCCCCACACACACACACACAATAATTTGGGAATAAATAAATTACACTTGTAATCCTAAAGCGAGATGACATTTTATACATCCATGATCAATATTTGGTCGAGAGGAACTTTTGTATAGTGGAAATAATCTTTTAGAAATTACTTTGGTGATGTAACTAAACAGCCAAGGAGACAAAATGAAGTAAGGAGAACATTTTACTGACATGTAAATTTCTGAGCGACTGCTATTTCTGACACCCTGGTAAAGAAAGGTGCACTTTACCTGTCCTGCGTTGTGCCAATGGCTGGGGGGCCATTTTGGGTGGGTGGCCTGCCACTGCTCATCCTGGGGAAGGAGAGGAGGCTGAGAGGATGGCCCAGGGCTGATCTAAGGATTTCCCATTTGTGGCTTCCATCAACAGCCTGCCTACTCTCGGGGCATCTTCCCTCTTTCACCCTGGGAAAACTCTTGGCATCTGGTAGCACCTTTTTCTTGGCCTGACTTTTGGCTTATTCCCATCCCAAGTGGAGGATGTGCACGTGATGAGGAGAGGAGATACGAGGGGAGCAGAGCTGGCATATTGCCGCAGTTTGCTGCCAGTTGGCATCAATTCCTCACTTTTCAGTGCCCAGATTGCTTCCCTCTAGTTCCTCTTCTGTGGGCGAAGGCTGGAAGAGAGCCAAGTAGGCTGCGTCCTAAGGAGAGAGCAACGTGTGTCTTGAATACCGAGGAGGATCTAGGTGTAGAATCAGCTGCGCAGACCCCCTAGGATTAGAGAGGACGCCCTGCATCCTCTTTGGAGCAACCACGGTTGAAAATCCAACCATGCAAAGGGCCAGAGATACACACCGTGAAGGAATCACTGGCGGTGGTTCTGTGAAGACGTGGACCAGCAGGAGAAGCATCCCCGGAAGGGAAAGGCCTTTGCACCGGTCTGCTCTCCCTGGGCTGCAAAGGAGATGGGGGCCTTTGACCATTGGGGGCCGAAGTACCTGCATGCCTGAAGGGGACCAGTTTGGATGCGAGGGGCTGCTGAGGCAAGCAGGCCAGCGCCCCTCGGACATTCCTGGCGTGGCTTGGGAGCCGAACTCAGGCTATCTGCCAATCTTGGATGCTCGAGCAAAAAGAGCAAACCTTTTGCTGAAAGAGAGAGTCAGGCACCAGGCAGAGTGGAGGGTTTGGGGAGAGCCGGCATGCTCAGAATCACAGCATCCTTCATGGCTCTTTGGATTCATTCCTTGGTCATTTGGACTGCAATTACAGA